TCCTTTGCACAATTCAACAGTCCCAACTGCAAAGTTAAGTTGGCTTAAGGCTAGGCCAAGTTAAAAATCCATTCCACCCAACTTTTAATACATTTTCATTTATAAGTAGGTTTTTCGGGGCTACATGAGATGTATTAACCATATTTCGTCAAGGCTATGAAGTAATCGTAGTTAAATTTTCCCACAATTACATAAGTAGACCTTGCGCCTTCACTGAATTTCACACATCCTTGCTCATCCCAAGGTATTCACATCTTGGATAGACTGCAATTTTGGTGCTGCCTAGGTCTCATCAGTGCCTCAAAGGGGACAATCCTCATGGGCACTCATGGGCACTCGTGGTAGTCTGAAGTCTTGGTTAACGTGTCAAGATTATACACTGCACTATCACAGTTAGAGTCCTGAAGTGGGTGCTGAGGGGACCAAAGCGAAGTGGAATCTGCAGTCAAGACCAGTCTGAATAAGAATATCTTTTGGAAGCAAAATTATGTGAAATTCAATGGAAGCGTTTGGTGAAGAGATTCAAAGGTCGATTGCACCAGAATACGACGGCGGATTCGTCTCGACCAGCTGTCGATTGGTTTCACTGGAACATTCATGCTGACGCTGTTTCCGAGGTAATCTCCTTCGATTCCGGTGAAAAGGTGGTGAGCTTTCGTCCGTCATATGACGAACATCATCAGAGCAAGGTATCATCGTCACAACCAAATTCAACCAAGTCAAGAAAACTCCGGAAATCCCTAAAAAGTGGTATATATATTTTACATCTAGCCTACATCAGGTATAAAGTAATTTGGTTAGTTGCGGTCATAAGTCAACTTCGAAGCTTGTAAGTTTCTGTCCCTGTATGTGTATATACCTGTTTGTATTCGCTTATGCACAAAACTCACAGTCATCGTTCACAGGAAGCGAAGCAGATTACCTCTGAAAAAACGTGAGCATGAATGTTCCAGTAAAACCAATCGACAGTTGGTCGAAGGGAATCCGCCGTCGTCTTCTGGTGGAATCGACCTTCGAATCTCTTCTCCAAATACTTTCACTCGAAATGGAAATGGAAGCACAACAATTACGAAACAAGAGATTCCTCGAAACCTAACTTTTCTTCGCATAAATTCAATGGAGACGTGAAGTCTACTTATATTATAGTAGAAAATTTAACCGCCAGTGATTCATCAACTTAATAGAATAGGGTGAATACATTTGATACATTTATCCCAAAAACGTGTACGTGCGACTGTTTAATTAGTGAAGCCTATCCAGATAACGAAAATAAAATGATAGGTTAAAATAACATCTTAAATTTCTCTAATCTAAGTACTATATCGCTCATGGAATTCGGTAACCTGAATACATTGCCATCGACAGGATAAACCAAGCGATCGACTTAACTAGAATAGGAAAAATGTTTGCCTTCTAGATATGTTTTCACCAAATAGGTGACACTAAACCCCCTATTTGTCCTGAAATTCAGTCATTCCCTATAACCCCATAGAGGCACGTGGTCAATGCATAGCTTATTTGCCTCCGGGCCCATTATTTCCGGGTTCAAATCCTACTGAGACTGAAGATTAGACTCATACGAGTTCGAGACTGCCATCGACTATAGGAAAAAATATTTTTTAGATATATTGTTAAGTTAATTTCAACAGCTTCCTTAAAATTGTGGTGAGATCAACAACGGCTGTCTAAAGTATTGATAGACTAAATGCAAAATTTCATCGTAAGAGGAAATTTTTTCCTAAATGAACGAAGACTATTGAAAAGATTATGTGAATTCGTCAAAGAAATGGCTTAATTCTAGTGTATCCAGCCTTTTGAGGTTACTTTAACCCTAATAAAGGTAAACAAAAAGTCTCTGCTGAATTTGCGTTCCAATGGAGATAAAGTTACACGAACTAATACATACCAGACCGATTTTCATTGAATAATATAATGGCAGTTGCATGAAGGATGAAGGGGTAGACTACTATGTCAGCCACCCTAGGTGCAGTAGGATCATTTCTAGTTAATGTACCTGAGTAGGCCTAGCTGGACGTCAGGAAGATTGATGCGTAATTTGGCATTTCCACGCGAGAACAAACTTCCCATGTCACCGGTTAGTGCCGTCCGATCCGTGGAACAAGGGACGTCTACGAGAACCCGATCGAAATGGAAAAGGTTGTCGGTTCCACGAGGGGCAAAATCATTCACAGAATTTTCGGAATGATGGGCCGAATTCAGCGAAGGCTGTAGGACTCGACGTCGGCGCCATTCGTCTAGCTGATTGATATGCATAATACAGACATCGGGCAGGCCGGGCCGGTTGACGCCGAGACCAGGCCCATGAGTGGAGAGTACGGAAAAGAGGCGGTCGAGACGAACACTCTTATTATCAGTAGAAACGAGGAGATCTGAGCAAAGATGCCAATGAGGAAATAAACATAAATTGCTAAGAACAAGTATTTTCATATGAAAATGGTGTGATAATAGTTTAGTATACCAAGTGAGCAAGTATTTAATTGCCTTGTCGATACTCTATAAACTTAAACTACAAATTAAATTTATATAACATGAGACACATTAATTTGCTTAAGGTTAAGGAAAGCCCGATGGTCGAGTTTACCACATTAAAATTGGGAGGCTTTACGGTGCCATCCTATTTCCCGAGGCACTTCGTTTATATCCGAGCTGGACCATAGTTTCAACCCTAACCCCCCGTCTCATCAGCAACCCGATAGGCTCCGAAACTGATTCATACAAGTCAGGTGACAATGCCTGCGCCCCATCACACAGCCTCAAATGTCAATTGGTCACAGGACAGTTGCGAATCTCAAGCCAGGCCAAGCCTTTCTAAATTCTCATTTATAGTGGTTGGACTAGTAGTATATGTAAATATTTTAAAAATTTACAAAACAAGAGAAAAGTAGAACTCAAGAAGATGCGGTCGTGTCAAAAGCAACGAAAGATACAGACCAAAATTGCTCAGCCCTCATATTTCCTTTCAGACGCTTAGAGGCTTGGAGAATCAAAATAAGCTATGTCCGGTTGAAGGAAGGGCGAGAGTGAAATAATATATGGGATGGGAGTTGGTAATACTTATTTGAAGCCAATTAAAATGCGAATTTTGACCTAAGCAGTGATGCAAGTAATTGAGATATTTCTAAACAGTGCGATAAATAATAGAAAATAGTTGTGCACTCCGACATATATACTGAACTCAAAAGACTGTATTTAGTTAGAGAAGGGCTCTAAACTATAAGTTTATTTTAAATATGAACTGTAGTCACCCTAGGTCGCACAGAGATAAAGAACTGTTATTCGAATTTTACCGCAATTATATAAATAGACTTTATAGTGTCAGTGACTTTCACTAAGCCCTGTCTTCTAAGAAGAATTCTCCTACAGGCTAGACTGCAGTTTCGACTTCGCCTAGGTCCCATCAATATACTCAATATGAATTGAACTTGGGTAGTGCAGCGTTTGTTTCCAATATATTACCCCTACGCCGTACATGGCAGACGTAGCCTATGCCTATACCATATCACATTTTGCAGTAAGAGTGTAGATAAAGCAAGTATGTATTTGTTATTACAATTGACTGGATTGCCTATGTTCAGATAAAGAAGGCTTTGAAACTACCAGTAGGTCGAAAAATAAGAACAAGAAATTGCTATATCTGATTAAGGAATGTAGTCGATTAGAAGAGCATACGGTTGCTTATCAGCAGACAATTGCTTGCAAAATAAGCTGGAAGAAGCGTGCAGTGTTGAAATCCATGTTTGCCCTTTATAATTAGATTATCGAGAGAACCAGTAAACTAAATAAATGAGGTGTATTTACACTATTTCGTTAAGCTGATGAAAGACTATTAGTTGAATTCTCCCACAATTATATAAATATATTCGTATGTGAGTAGGGTTATACATCTCATTATATAAATATACCCTAAGATTAGATTGGATTTCGAATAGCCAAGCTTCCCAGAAGGTATTCTCATCCAGGCAGGAGTAGAATGCAATTTCGATTTCATCTAGATCCCATCACACCCTTAGCTGGATTCGAACCCGGTTCGTAGCAGTGCGACATATAATCTCAGCAGGTTAAGCACTACACCACACACTGTCAC